ACCTTTGCCACTTCTCACAAGTCCATGTTAGTGTGCCGGTAAACCACACACGCTCCACTAACGACTTTGAGAATGCAAATATCACAATTGCTATCTAGCTAAAATCTACTTAGTGAAAGTGTTTCCTCACCATCATTTTCATGAATCGGAGAGAAACCTTATGACACTTAGATTTAATAGTGTATGTGTTCTTATCCAAGTGAAATTTGTCAAAACCATAATCACAAGACAAGGTTAGTGACAAATCCAAACTCATATTGATTAAACTTGTGCAATCTTAAATTCTTGCCATTTGGCAGCTCAGGTGCCTGCCATTGCTTCCAAGTAGTTGTGCAACCAATTGAGAACTCTCAGAACTCCTATGCAAAGCCAACTTGAATAGGCACAAAAATTTCAACACGATAGGTTATAAACCTCAAGTCGTGTGCTAGTGAAGGACTTTAGGTTTTATTCTTGATTAAGTCTTGAAACTTTCAAGAGCTTTAAGACTCCCACTGTCCTCTTGACATATAAGACTCCCTTGTCAAATATTCAAGAGATAGTGCGGATTCTTTATCAAGACTAACACTTTACATAATTGGCCTAAGTTGGTCTCTGTTTTATCCAAAACATCACAACTTACCAATTTCAAATGTACAAGAGTAGATAACCTTTTACTCTTACATTTGACTAGTGTTAACAAACCCTCTTTAAGATATGTCACTCAAGTTACAATCTTGGAGTATGACTCTAAGAATTGTTTTGGAATGAAGTATGACTCATCTTTTTGATTTAACCATTTCAACAATTCATGACTCCTCTTCTTAGTCATAAGAATGCACTAAGATGACTTTAGAGGACCAATTGTGATATGGTATCTTAATCATTAAGATGATCATAAACATGATACTAAAGTACTCTCCCATCTTTTCAGATTTGAGAAACTTTTATCTTTCTGCCATACTTTGATTCTTCTTATTCGTTCTGTCTCACATTGAAACTTCTCCAATGCTACAGACTTATACTTAAACTTATAAGTATAACCATATTTACTGAACTTAAGTAAATCATGACGAATAGTCTTCTTGATCTTTTGTGGTGGACTTGACCAGTGCACAAGAATGTGTACTCGATCCCTTAGTCCTTTCCTTATTCACATAAGGAATTAGTCTTAATTTTCCAAGCTGAAAGTTCTCATTCATCATACTATACAACTTGCATGATTCCAAGTTTCGGTCCAATTGAACCTTGGGTGATGAGAATCTTTCCTTATTTGGTAATATTAGACACTACCACAACCGAAAGAATCAAATCCATTTTTCCAATATTGCTATCAATGGAATCTTATAAGCAACAACTTTTCACAAATGCCATTGTAAGGATACTTAAAATAAATAAAATCAAAACCTTTTTCTTTTATTTTAAAACTTTGCGGAAAAACTTATCCTTAGAATCCATATGAAAACCTTGTTGTTATCTATTCCTAAGCAATATAAATATCATAACTCTTAAGTAATAGCCCAAAATTCTGATCACCGAACCATGCGATTGAAATCCATCTTCGCGATCAGAATCAGCATGTACTTAATAGAGTTAGACAATGTAGTTTACCTGAAGTAGAGCCAAACTTATTGACTTTAACATCCTTAGGTAAATTTGGCAGCTTCGTAACCAATGCCCCTTCCTTTGGCAATAGTTACCTATGGACCCTTGATAATGGGACTATCTCAGACTTTGCCTCTCTCTTTACCATTGGGTCAACAGAGTTGACTATGGCCGATCCCTTTCCATTGGGAAGAGAGAGCTTTACTGGATATCCAATGTCATCATTGTCAATGTCCATAGCGTTTTAGGAAGTTGATCTTAGCAAATAGATAAGATCATTAAGGGTCTTGTCTTAGTCTGTTTCATAGGATTCCCAAAAGAACTCACTATGTGACTTAGAAAGTAGTTGAGCCACCAACTTTCTCAAGACTTTGACACCCAACTCTCCCGGCTTGTCAATATGTGACTACATCTCCAAGATGTGATCACACCTAGACCTTGCCTTGCCAACAGGGCTTGAGTGACCTTAAACTTTTTAGGAACTTGTGGGTTAGGGAGAATAATTGGAGGAGGTGAAAGAAGTATGAACTTTTTAGGAACTTGTGGGATGCCGAGGATCACAAAACAAGGTGTGAATAACCATGCAAATATACTTGGTACCCTTAATATTTACCCCTTAATCAGTGTGACGGTTAACCACACACGCTCCACCGATACTATGATAAATATTAAGTTACCCTTTGCCTACCTTGTTAAGTCCAGGTTAGTGTGCCGGTTAACCACACACGCTCCACTAACGACTTAAGCAAAGTGCAAAGTGTAATTTCATGGGTTAGCACCAAATTCACATTTTCCTAAGTAACTAAGATTGGGCATTAATAAGAGTTTAGTTACTTAGTATTTATCATTAATACTTTTAATGAAAGGAGAATTATAGTCCTTGTCCTACCCGTTCGGCTAACGACCCTCCACCAGTCAAGGAAGTGGTGGGTGAGAGTGGACACCCATAAAACTGCCATTTTATAGGCAGTAACCTTATACCCCCCTTATAGACCGGCTTCGTGAATGAGGCCTACTAACGGTAAGACTGACTTTACTCTTATACATATATATAAATATTATTAACTTATAATATTATAAAGTATAAGGGTTGAATTTTAACTTTTAAAATTCTAAGGGCTAACTTGGAATTAAAGTATTCATAAGTGAAAACTTTTCAAATTCCAAAACTTGAGGGCAAGTTTTGAAACTATTCAAAACTAATTAATTCCATAACTTATGAGTTTAAAGTAGTTTTAATTAAAAAAAACTCTTCAAGTTCCATAACTTGAGGACAAGTTATGGAAGACTTTAAACTAATTAATAAAAAAAATAATTTTTTTTATTGTAACTTATGGAACTAATTAAGGTTACACTTTTTTTTTTAATTTAATGAAGAGACTCTTGAACCTCCATAATTTGAGGACAAGTTATGGAGTCATAAAACCATTTAATTAGAACTAGACTCTTCATTTTGTAACCTTTGCCAACTTTTATGAGTTTTATGATTCTTAAATGTGACTTTTCATATAACTTGAGGACAAGTTACAAAAACACACTTTGGAATCAACTCTTAGATTAAAATGGATTGAAAACAACTATTTCACACAACTTTTCTATTAATCTAAGAACCTCATAAGAACAAGATAATTCAAATCATCAATCTTCAAGAAATTAGCATGAACATACAAAGTAATACAAATCTTGAAATTATGACAATTATCTTAGAAATTGGATTAGCATGAACATTACCACATCAAAAACAAGTTTATAAGTCCAAAAACATCTTAGGGTAATGTTCCTAGTCCAATTCCAGCCAAAACAATCGAATATATGCATCCAACTCGATTTTTCAGCTACTTTTGCAAGTATAACAAGAAAACAAACCTGTCTCTGATACCACTGTTGGGTTATGAGCATTCTAACACTCCTAAGTGTACATGCAACCCTAAATACCTTGGATCTATGTTTTCTCTATTATACATACAATTATGAACATCCAAGGTATTATCCTAATCTAGCATACAAAATAATAAATATGACAAGATAGAATACATACCTCTTTGATGTAGAATGTCTTCATGAAGCTTGAGTGCCTAGTGCCCCAAGTGTGACACCTCAAATGGTTCACACAACACCAAATACACTTGGAATAACTTGAGAGAAACTTGAACACTCCTTGAAATCGTCTAGCCCTCACACTCACACATTAGTGCGATTTCTTGAGCCATGTGATTCTTTTATATGATGGCTATTAGGGTTACACCATGTAACTCATAACTTTACCCATTCCTTATGCTCCATGGATTTTAACCTCCATGGAGTATCCATGGGTCACCCCATGGACTTAGTCCAACATAAGGAATCTTGGATCACAAGCCCACATATATAAGAATGAATGATTTACACAATCAACCCATATATTTAATTAGTCTCCTTTTGATCACTTAATTAATTCCAAATTAATTCTTGATCAATACTAATTAAATAACCTTATTAATATATTAGAACTTATAATATATTAACCAACCTTAAGTGTTATTTCTCTCATTATAGTCTATCCAAATGCATGATGCCATGCAACCCAAATGGACCATGTCGGGTCGGGTCAAGTCTTACCAATTATAGTTATGGACTTAGACATTAATCCAACAACAAGAGGTTTAAAAACTGCACCATACTTATCATCGAAATCAGCATCATCTGCACCATTATCGATAACCTCAAAAGCACGTTTCTTCAGATTCATGACAATAAGATATATGTGCTTATGCCTCAAAACCGGGAAAAATACCTAACATCAACATGTATAATATTATAAATAAAATATTAATAAATATATATATATAAATGTATAAAAAAATAAATATACCATATCAACATCCTTCAAAACCTTCAAGTCTCTATCACCAGAAACACTGCGAGAGAAGCTGTCCTTGAAAACTTTATATTTTGTAGTTTCATTCAAATGAGTATATTCAAATGACAAAGTCTGTAATATAAGAAAATCATAAATGATTATATAATAACATGTAAATATTTAATAAAAAATTATTAATGATTATCAACATATGAAAAGCAAAGAATAAAATAAAAACTTACAGTGTCAGAATTCATGAACAATCTGAGTGGAGAATTAACATCTCTGAATTTCTCTTGATGAGTTAGTATACGAGACCATGAAACAAGAACACTAACATGCAAATGGGTTTTTTTAAAAAAGACTTTCATAATTAGCTCTAAAACCAATAACATCTGTTTCCATAAGCAATACAATATCCCTGTATATATTTAATTAAATGTTATTTAAAATAAAAAATTATAATTATAAAAATAAAAAATTATATTAAAAAAAATTACCCTGGATTTTCTTGAAGATTGAAAAGTCATTCACAAACAACATTTTCTACTTGTGTCAAACTTGGTTTAAAATCAATTTACCTTTCCTTAAATGGTGACTTATAAACATAAGAAAACTTCATTTGTATCTTTCTTTTGACATCCACTACTGATGTTGCTTCTTCATTTATATCTTTAGGTTTTCCAGAAACAGGTTTTGATGGTCTTTCTAATGTACCCAAAGGGGGTGCAAAAGAAACTGGACTAGCATCAATAACATCAACATATGGAATAACACACTCTGGACCAACACTTGGTTTTCCCAAAATAACTCTATCCTTAATCTTTTTCTTTGTCATCCGTTCAGAAGAAATTTGACTTTGAGATGACTTCTTGGAACCTTCAGAATCTTGACTAAATCCAAGACTAAAACTTGGAACAATATCATTTTTCAATGATCGAGTCTCATTTGAATCCTTGTTTTTATTTGAACAATCTTCAACATTTTCTACCCAATAAAATTATAAAAATCATATATGAATAAACAATAATTATAAACACAATTATATATGAATAAACAATAATTATAAACAAATTACCTCCATCTTTATTTTAATGATCATCCTCACCCAAATTTACAGTCCCTAAATTATTAAAATCATAAATGAATCATCTATCAACATATATATATATATATATATATATATATATATATATATATATATATATATATATATATATATATATTATGTATTAAAATACATAAATAAATACTTACCATCATCAATACCAATCAAATTCAAATTCACATCATCTTCAACTAGTTTCTGATTTAAACAACCATCAGTACCTATAAAATTCAAATATAAAAAATTAAAATCATATATGATTAAACTATATATAATAATAAAATATGCCTACCTTGATCCAAAGTTTTAAGAAAACTTTCAACAACTGGATCGCAAATAAATTGACTAAAAGATACACCTTCATGGCTATCAATTAGACCCACACTCTTAGTAACATTTTCGACAACAGAATTTAAATTCATGGCCTTTTCTTTATTACAACCACTTCCATTTCCTTGTTCATCATCTTCATCATCATCACCTTTACCTTCAACATGATTTTTACCAATATTGCCCTCATGTGGACCACTTCCATCCCCCTGACCACCAGAACATTTCCCTTGATCATAATCTTCAACATTTTCATCATCATTAAGAAAATCATTCCCATAATCTTCATCATTAACTTGAACAAAACCAGGTGTTAATATCGGTTCTTTATATTTTTGTGAACCATAATTGAAATCAAAACTTTCTGTGCTTAAATCTTCAACAGGAAATAATAATTTCCAATTTTTGAAATTTTGACTTTGAGGAAACTTCAACACTCCCTCATCTATCTTTACAACCAGATCCTTTTTCAAATCCTCTATCTTCTGATACATACATGAAATTTTACTTTCATACACCTACATAAGAAAAAAGATACTTACAACTAAACTACTTACACATAAAAAGTCATAAATGAATAAACTAATTAAATCATAAATGAATAAAACTATAGAATTACCTCCACATCACTAACTTTATAAACATTAAAATCTTCTTCATCCTGATCACATAAATCCTCTTCACCATTAGATTCAACCTCATCACCACCAGATTCCTCCTAATTATACTCAGATTCTTGAAATTCTTCTTCAACATATGCTTCATTAACATGTCCACATCCAAATCCTCCACTTTCTTGTAAAATATCCTCAAGAAAACTTATCTTCTCTGACGTCCAATAAAAAATAGTTGGACGTTTACGTGTGACTTGCAAATGATCAAACTTGAAAGTATCCACATACAACAACTACAAAAAAACATATATAACATCATATATGATTTTGATGTGTAATATATAATTAAACAAAAATTATACTACATAATCATATATGATTATACGTAATAAAATCATATATGATTTATTATAAAAACAAACATATTTTTACAACTAAAAAGAATAATAAATATAAAAAAATAACTCACGTACCATAAGGTATGTTGCTGGTCCATAAAAGAAAGAAAATTCTTTCTCTGGATTGTAAACCTTCTCGTCCTTACCAAACAATCCACAATGTAATCGTACCAGTCAATGCTACTTAAATCAGTATCTCTTCTAATTAAGTACAATGGATTCAAATTACATTTACCCATGCTTGTAGACTCACAGAAAGTATTAATAAAAATAACCAAAAAAATGATTCTGAAGTTGTCATCCGCAACACTAGTTTGAACAAGTTCATTCTTTAGCTGTTTCAATCTCAATTTATCAATATTTTCATACTGTTTCTTCCACTCAAACATACAACTCTCTTCATTATTCTCCGAAATGTAATCCATGTTTGAAAGTAATGAGCCACCAGATGGTAATCCTAACATCTCTTGAACAGACTTACTGTAACATCCCAAATTTCAGAAACATGATATAAGGGCTTAAAGTGTAAATTGAGGAAGCTACTCGACGAGTAGGTGTGATTACTCGTCGAGTCGGAGCGGGTTCTGGTCGCGAGTTAAGTGACCAACTCGCCGAGTCGACAGCTGGACTCGACGAGTTGGTGCTGAAAAGAGAAAACCCTAATCTTAAGGGTTGCACTCTATTTAAAGGATCACATGTCCTCCCTTCAGCCTCCTTATTGCCCTTGAGAGTCAGTAAACCCTAAAATCGTGTGAGCTTCCATTGTTAAAGAGATTTGAGCTTTGGAGGAGGAATATTGAGAAGGGAGCTTGAAGATCAAGAGGCTAGCATCAAGGGATTGGTTTAGATCCAGAATCTACTTCAGCTTGGGCACGTTTTGGAGGTAACAAGTTGTTACCTTGACTTTATTGCATTTATATCTATTCAAGAATGAGATTTGGGGCCATTTTGGCATGTTAAGGATCTATTTCGGGTTAGGGGTCTAGATCTGAGGTTGCTACTTCAGATCTAGACTTGTCTTGGTCCAGAAACTCGCAAAGTATCAGCCCTTGGTTTGTTGGTGAAGCATCCTTGTCCTAAACCTTAGGCCTAGATTGATTTGGGCCTATAGCCCTTTGTGTCCACGTAAAGTTTGCAACTTTACGTGAGAGTCATGCCCTAGAAGAGTGGATCTACAGTTTGGAGCCCCTGCATGGCTCGAAAAGCCTCTGTTTGAATAAAGGACTGAAGAGACTCGACGAGTCACTTGGGTGGACTCGGCGAGTCATATGAAGATAGGCATGAACTCGACGAGTTGGAGGAACAACTCGGCGAGTCTGTTGAAGATTGTCATGGACTCGGCGAGTCTGTTCTTGGACTCGGCGAGTCAGAACGCAAAACCCCCAACCTCTTCTGGTTAAGACTCAGATCAGTGAGTTGAGTGGTGACTCAGTGAGTTGGACATGATAGGGCTCAGAGATTGTTGAACTCGAGGAGTCATGGGGTGACTTGGCAAGTCGAGTCGTGATACGAGAGTTTTCTGAGTTTAGGAACTCGGCGAGTCAGTGGGTTGACTTGGCGAGTAGGGTCAATCAGGAAGGTTGACTCTGGACAGGACTTTGACTTTGACCAGTTTGACCTTCAAGGGTATTATGGTAGACAGGATGGCTATATGATGGTATGCTCTGTTAGATCAGTATCCTGGTAGACAGGATGGCTATATGATGGTATGCTCTGTTAGATCGGTATTCTGGTAGATTGGATGTGGCTATGCTTAGCGACCTGTAGTTGGTCTGACTGTCTGTATGCTGGTAGGAGATTACATGTTATATGTGCACGTGTTGAGCAGTAGTAGAGGGTATTCCATCCCGGTAGGATGATAGGGCCCTAGTATGTTGTCTTGTAGACTGTTATATGATTATTTGATAGGTGCACATGTTTGCTAGTATGTGGGCATTCCAACCCGATGGTTGTGGGCCAGGAGTATTCCATCCCGGTAGGATGATTGGACTCATAGTAGGTGGGTATTCCAACCTGATGGTTGAGGGCCAGGAGTATTCCATCCCGGTAGGATGATTGGACTCATAGTAGGTGGGCATTCCAACCTGATGGTTGAGGGCCTGGGGTATTCCATCCCGAAGGATGATTGGATCCATAGTAGTTATTGTATGTATAGGTGTGGGCATTCCAACCCGATGGTTGTGGGCCGAGAGTATTTCATCCCGAGGATGATTGGACTCGTAGTATGTTGGCATTCCAACCCGATGGTTGAGGGCCTGGGTATTCCAACCTGACGGTTGATTGGACCCATAGTATGTTGTTCATTGATGTATGTGTATGGTTATGTGTGTACGGGTATTTTGGGGGAACTCACTAAGCTTTCGAGCTTACGGTTTCAGTTTATTGTTTCAGGTACATCAGGTGATCGTGGCAAGGCAAAGGCGTGATCATACCGCTCCTCATATTTCGTGATTTTGTGATTTGGTTCTGGGGATACTCTGATGTTTAAACTATTTTGAAAACAAGTTGTAATAACTTAATGGTTTTTGAATGGGTTAAAATGTTTTAAATTGACTTAAATTTTATGGGTGTTACACTTACTATCAACACTAACTCCACAATTATCAAACTCCACCTTCAAAGATTCAAAATTAAAATGATCAAGAACATAATAAACAATCTTCAACGGTACGTCAATCATCTTCATCCCTAACAAACTCCCAAATCCCATAGCCCTAACACAATCCTTATGTTCTCTACTTAAACCTTGAATAAAACCCAACAATGACCCGGGTGAACATCTAGTCTTCAATGAAGGAAATTCTTTTATAACATCAACTTTTTTATCTTTCTTCAAAACTTTAGTTTCTCTCTTTGGTTTCTTTGAAGATCCAGGACGACTTTGAAAATCTGAATCATCTTCATCAGATAGTTCACGTTTCTTACTTACAGTTTTAACCTTAACCCTCAGCTTCACTTTTGGTTGTTCAACAACTGTTTTTTGGATGTCTTTGAACGTGTTTGCGACACCTCATTCGCCTTTTCTCTTTTGGAAGATGACCGTGTCTTCCTTGAGCTATCTACATTCCCTTTTTTTAACTACAATTTTCATTACAAACATAGTGTTAGTAAAAAATAAAACATACATTTATCATTACTATTCACTAATGATTATAAACAGACGTATAAAATCATTTATGATTAGAACAATAAATAAAAATACAACTAAATTTTATATACAATCCACTTAAAAGAACCACACAATCAGTTATGATTACAAAAATAACTTTATATTCATGTTTGATACATAAAAATACATTTATCATTACTATTTACCAATGATTATAAACAAACGTATAAAATCATCTATGATTAGAAGTAGAAATAAACATATAACTAAATGTTATGTTCAATACACTGGAAAAATCAAAAAATCAGTTATGATTACAACAAATAACTTCAAACATTAAGTTATATGTTTATTTCTACTTCTAATCATAGATGATTTTTTTTTGAATTGTACCTTCGGAAATAACAGCACTTCTACTGCATTCGATATTTTTTTGATTTTTGAATTTTTTCGAACATAGTTTCTTTTGAAATCCTTATCTGTGAAAATATAAACAAAAACTTACATCAAAAACCACCACAAACAAACATAATAAAAAACATATCAACTCTAAACAAGACAATCATCAAAATCAAGTTGAAATGACGAAAAACCTACTGAATCAAAACAAAAAAACACCATTATCAACATAAAACGACAGTTAACTAATTAATAAAAACATGCATTATCAATAAAATGAAAAATAACTCGCATTCTAACCTTTCATTTCGATTAACGAAGATGCGACTTCGTTTATATTTTCTCCTGAAGACATTTACTGATTTCTCAATAACAGGTAAGAAACGAAAACTAGGGCAAAATACTATAAAGAAAGAAAAAGAGGGTTTCCTGAGAGTTCGAAGTGAGACTTTGATCGAGAAAGAAAAGAAAACAATAGGCGGTTACAGTATCGTAGCCTGCAAAATTCATATCAATCTTTGTAAAGTTACAACATTAGTCCCACAATCGTAAATTAACGGCGTTAGTTTAATTAGTTACCAATATAATTACAAATATACCACCGCATAGTTTCAGAAACAAACATAAGCACATCAAACGATTATACACATATCTCACAATCTCTAATTTTTTTTATCTCAAGGGAACCAACATCTATATATATATATATATATATATATATATATATATATATATATATATATAGAGAGAGAGAGAGAGAGAGAGATAGGTTCAGGTGTTTAATGTATCTATTGTGTTATTGTATGCATAAATGTGGGCCAATCAAAATTTAAAATTAAAAAAAATAATTAAATAAATAAATAAGGGTAAATAAGTAATTTGATAATTAGTTTCCACAAATAATATCCTATAATTATGGTAACCATTGACTTCAGCCACCTACCTACCTAGGTTTTCTCCATCGGTTTTTTAAAACCACCGAAAGTAAACAAGATCGACATCACCATGGTCCCGATTCTTAAGATCGACATCATCCGAAGGTTTTAGGAGGAGAAATCGACTGAACAGCAACGACATCATAAGCAACAAAACGATGCGGGTTCATCCCTGCGGCGAGTCCAGTGGTGGTTTCAGGTTATCCGATGAGTGCTGCATGTTCTTCTGATTCAAGCTACTTCAGATATGGTAGAGGGATTTAATTCTTCGAGACCCAAGGGTAGTAATTCTAAGACATCGTTTCTTCCCTCTGTGAATGATACGATCTAAGATAAGGGTATATTGGGCGCTAAACCTGTGGTTCCTGATCCAAAATCTGTTACGCCATCTGTGCCTGTGAAGGTAGCGTTCTCTTCTGTTACAGTCTCTGTGCACATAAGGTGCTCGATGAAATGCCCAAATTGAGAAAACTGTAACTTGAATGCTTAATCGATTCTTTCTCCATTTCGTTTCCCTCCTTCTCTCATAACTCTTTATTTCTTTCCTTCCTATAAACTTAATGCCACCTTCCTCCCACCTTCCTTTCTTCAAATTCACAGCAAACATATTCTAGGAATACTCTCAATATCATATCTGAAATCAACTTCCTTACAGCCCCTCCCCTCTCCTCGAAACCCATCAAAACCGAAGGCAGAAATGGAGTTGTTGCCTCCTCTTTTTTAGCCTCCAATTACAGCCACTTAGCACCAATTTTCAACATGTTTTATCCTAAAAATACCCCTGAACATGTCTCCTGTTGCAGCTGTCTTTGAAGCCACCATAATATCCCCAAAACTCCTCTTATTCATGTGTTCTTGCTGAATTTTTGAGACCCAAAACAACTCAATAAAGAGTTGTTTTTCTAGTGGTTTATAGCAGCCCAAAAACCACCTATTTTGCTGTCAAAAACCTCATGTTTGCTGTCAAAAATTCAAGAACACATCAGCCCTATACAAAGCTGTTTTCAAGTGACCAAATGTG